AAAAAAAAGCAAATACATAAACCCCCACAGTAATCATGATCCATGGTGGTTTAAATAGACTTTTGCTGCGGATCATGGAAAACACTTAATTGTGAAACTTCTGCATTGGATTTCACTGCTTTTGATTGTTAGAACAGATTTTTCCATGTGAACTTACTCCAGTCCAGTAGTCCCAGAGTAGTTGCTTTAGTCTGTACTATTGGATACATGAGTATCAGTGTAATCCTTGGTTTTCTTTGAAGGTTGGAGATAGTTCCATTTGCTGGAAACTTTCTTCTCCCTTTGTTTTTTTGGGGTTTTTTTTTTTTTTTTGTTTTTTTTTTTTTTTTTGTTTTGTTTTTTTTTTTTTTTTTTGTTTTTTTTTTTTGCCATAATGCTGGCAGCAGGGTGAAGCTGACATGTGTCCTGAGCCTGGAAGCAGGGTGAGCTTCTGTGACTGCTGCTAAGCTTTTAGAACATTCTCCTTAATAACTACAGCCAAGGCACAGGGACAGCAGGATGAGAGTTCCTGTGAGATGCAGCAGGGATTAGCCATAGCAGAGAGTGGAAGGAAGGAGATATGGTAGGTGAGATGCCTTCAGGGACTTGTGCTGTGGAAGAGATTCTTGAAGAGCTTCATTCCCACCCAGCTGATCCAGGCACAGCTTTGACTTGAGCTTTTCCTGGAACAGACCTCTCTGGAGCTTTGATGTTACCTCATTAGTACTGTGGTTGCAGGAATACCCAGTGGTTGTGGTGCTGTGTTCCAGTGGTGAGGTCAGCACTAGGGCAAGGGCCAGGAATGGGGTTTGGGAAAACAGGCAGTGAGTTGTCTTCCAGGAGTCAGGAGCCTCAGGCAGCAAAATCACTGCTTTTTTTTTGCTGGGGGAGCTGCTTCTCCTCCTTTAGGAAATGTAACTGCTGAGCTCCATGGGCTGAGGAGCTGTAGCTGCCTCTTCCCAAGTTTGGTTGGGAAGGTCAGGGAAAGGGAGTGAGATTCCCAAGTGGAGTGTGATCACCAAGAGTGGTTTTTAAGGACAAAACTAAGGAGTGAAGCAGATTAGGTCAAAATGCAGCGCTAATTGTTCCTGAAGCACTGAGCTGCCAGCTGAGCCACTGCAGGGTTCTGACTGCAGGTCCCTTGGCATGTACCAGCTTAGACACGGTGAAGCTGAGATTACTGACATAGGAAAAAATGCACCTTGGGAGGGAACTCTGACAGCTGCAGCCTGGAGTGGTGTGTGATCCAGGTGCCAGCTGGGATGGGACACAGCAGGGAACAGAAATGCTGGATCTGCAGTACTGTTCTGGTAAAATCTACTGATTGAGGGAAAGATGTTGAAGGAGGACTAGAAAAGGATTTTTACACTCATTTCATCCTTAAATTCCCACGCTGGTATTTAACCAAACACTGGTGGGTGCCACATGGAAGATGGCACAGTGTTACTTGTGCCTAAGCCTCTCTGCTGGTCACCTCCAGAGCAGGAAGGTGTGACTGGAGACCAACTGGGAAGGTCTTTTGGACTGCAGGTGTGCCAAAACATGGGACCCAACTGGCTTCAAAGTGAGTGGAAGCACTGGAAATGCCACCTTGCTTTGATGCTTTGGGCTGCAGTCAGTGAGGATACCAGGTAATCTTAAAACAGTATTAATTCTGCAGTTTGGCAGAGGTATTCTGATCAGAACTGGGTTTCAGCTTTACCAAGACAGTGTTCCCAGTGAGCTTAGGATAAAAGGGGTACAATTACAAAGCCAGCATTTCTAAGGAAGGAAGAAACCAAAACTCTAGTGCCTTTTTCTTTTGAGCTTTTGATGTTATGTCCCGTAAAAAAAGGTAAGGGCTATGTCCTCTCGGATGTAATACTTTGTTTGGCTTATTTGTAAGTGGTTTGTTGAGGAATACTCAAGACAAAACTGTCTGTCCTTGGCAGCAGTGGAGCTAACTGCAGTGCTGAGTAGCTTTAAGAACCACTTCCACCCTGTATGCATGTACAAACAGCAAACAGGTTCATAAACCCTTGGTTATTTCTCTGTCCTACTCCCAAGGGGAGGAAGCTCAGTCTTTCTTTCCAGTATTCTAATTATGCAATTTGGTTCTTCCTGTAACTTGTTACCTAATTGCCGTAACATCATGTTCTGGAGCCTCAACTCTGCATGTAGCTGGGAGTTTAAGAGAATTTTTTTGTTGTTCATTCTTTTAGGTTTGGTTTTTTTTCCCTCCTCAAATCTGTGATTTTTACATTTCTACACTGTTCTGGCACATCCAAGTCTAACTGAAGCAATACCATAAAGCCCATCTGAACAATAACATAGGAAAAAATCTAGGCACCAATGAGTCATTTAAATGTTGAAGTGAGTTCTGCATTTACACTCTCTAGTTTCTTAATTCCTCCACCCCTCCAGAATGTTTCTTTGGTGCTAGTTGTAACTTATTGAACATCAAAATGAATGTAAAATAAAGTATTTTTAATGTATGAAATATGGCTATCAATATTTATTTTGTACTTGCAAGCAAATTCAAGGTGGTAAATGTTTGCTTTGGCAAATACTAGTCCCTTGGAAAGGGCTTCCCTAGAAGCAATGTCTCATTGTCAGCTATGCTTTTCATTTTAAAGGTGACTTGCACTAGAGGATGCTGCTGTTCCATATTTTCACATGGAACTGATTTAGTCCAAGCATTCCTTTGTTATGAGCTGCTGGTTTTCTGTTTGATTGTTTTTCAGTTGAGATACACTTATGTTAATCCAGCAACTTACTAGAGCTATGCTGCTTCTCTTCTGCGCTGAAGGGACTGAGAAAAAAAAACATGGTAAAGAGCTCTTCAGCTTGTATCTTGTGTTGATCTGGAAGTGCTTCCTGTACTGTACAAATAACCTAGCCTTCATGTTGCTAATGGCAAGGTGTTTTATATGCTTAATGCTCTTTTCTAATTAAAGATATTACTAATGATAGTATCTGTCTTAACAGCATTGATGTAAAGCCAATGGAAACGCAACACTCTGTAAGCTGTTCAAAATACTGATCTTCTGCTTCTGACAGAGGCAGCAATAAGTCTGTCCAGTGCCAGTGATGTGTTACAGGGAGCATTAATCTCCATGCTCTGTGCTACCCAGTGCAGAAGGGCTTGCTACAGAGCATTGTGGTTACAGCCCCTCCTGCCCCAGCAAGCATTAAGAAGAGTATTTGTAAGCTTGCCCAAGTCTGACCATGAACTGCCTTGTAAATCACACAAGCTAAGCACTCGGCCATTATTCTCTTGTGCCGCCACTGCATCAGGCTTCTTTGCAGGTGAAACAGACTCCATCAGCCTTTTGGTTTACTCTCTCTTCTCACAAAATGTTTTTGCATGTTGCCCCAGTTGCTCTTAAGTGATGACACATTAAATACTGTGAAGGAAGGTACGTGGTGAGAATGTTCAGCTCATCACGTTCTTCCTCAAAGGGAATGTTGCACTCATTTGAGTTGTGTCCTGGTGTGGCTGTACCAGACACACAAATGCCTGTGCTGAAATCATGTAAAACCTAACTGATGTTGTGCACACAGCATTTTACTAGATTTTTGCATTGTATATTGGTAAATAAACTTGTATTGAAATTTCTTTCCATGATTGATTTAACAGTATTGTAGCTTGTGTAATGAGGAAAATGGCTTAAGTCATTGTACTAAATGGGGTGGGTGGAAAAGTCTTTATGAAGTAGCTAGTACTGGTGATGGCTTTGTTGACAGCTTAAATTTCAGTACTACTTCCCTCTGTTCTTTGATTTCTTCGGTGCTTACTGTGGTAGGGCAGAGTGGGTGTTTGGAGCTCTCAGTGCCCAAAGCCTCTCCAAGTGGGCAAAGAGGAACCACTTAAATGAGATCCTCAGGTATCAGCTTCAAAAATGAATCTTGTACTGAACATTTAACAGGAACTCATGTTTAAGAACACCCCGAATGAAGTGATGTAGCCCAAAAAAGTTTGTGTGGGGCACTGGGAAGCTCATTAAAGAAGTCTTCATCCGCTAGGGAAGAAGCTGTCCCTTTGTTTTGATTGCCCTGTTGGAAAAACTTCTATACTAACTAAGTTATTATTAGATTTAGTTTAGATCCAGACAGGTTGGGAGGTGACAAACCAATACATGACAGTTCTTAAAAGGTACATAAAGTGACCCTGGTCCCTTTCTCACATCAGCTGAGAACAGGTCCCAGTCAAAGTGCAACTGAAACCATTTCTTCAATCCTACTTCACACAGCTACAGCCTGCTCCAAACCCAGATGGAAGGAACTTCAGTATATGGAATTTTTAGAGTCAATTTCTGCACTTTGATCTCTGTACTTGATTAGTTTAAAAAAAATTAACATTCTAGTTGTCTTCACACAAGCATCAAAAAATTGTCTCTCCTCTGCCCAGTCAAAGCATTGATTTTCCTTCTTAGAGTCAAGAAAGAAAGAATGACTAACCCCCAAACAGTTGTATGCACTTAAGTTGTTCCTAGTTAACTCTTTGATTCCCATGAGGCAAAAGAGCACTGGGAAAAAAAGTCTTAAGGAATGAGAAATCACTTCTCACCATGAGTAGGTCTAGTGTTCAGTAAGCTGTTGGCAACTGCATCTGAACCAAAAACATGTAATCAATACCTTACCTTAAGGTGAGAAGCTCCATAAGCCAAGGTAACCAATAACAATGGTAAAAAAATTCAGAAGTACTTACTGTTTACCAGGTCTTAATAACTTCCCTAAGTTTGAAGTTTCTGCCCCCTGTGTTAAGCATTTGAGCTTTCATTGACGAGAGGACAGGATAGTTACTTTGTCAGTTGTGTAATTTGCCAAGTTCCACCCACTCCTATCCAGGTGACCAGACAAATTGTAGGACAAAACATTCAGTTAATTATGGATTGTATTTCACCCTGATTGTGCAGGATTGGGAGCAGCAGGTGGAGCCACACATGGCAAGAGCTGCAAATGGGAAAAGTTCTGATGCAGCCGAAGAGCCAAACTGAGTAAATGCAAGAAATGAAGACGAAACTAAGTTCACATTTTTCTTTGAGCCACTTACATGCAATTATTTATGTAAGTCTAAATGAAAGCATATACCAAACTCTCAGCTATTCACTTCTTTGGGTGTCCTGGCTCTCAGCAGGGTTGTAGCTACAGTTTGCGTAACAAACTGATTGTAAAGCTGAAGTTACAAGACTATCAAAATTGTTTAAACCAATTTATACAATATTAAATTAAAAAAATCCAGAGATAGGATAAATTCTATTGGTTCTTCAATGCCATACAAGTATTAGATGGTTTTCTTGAGCCAGTGTTAGTACAGGACAAAAAGGCTGAAAAATTACAAAAAAATATCTAATCTCCATTGCCATTTATTTACAGGTCAGAATTCATAAAGGTTTCAACTTCAGTCCTTCAGAGATTATTTCTGAAGAGACAAAACAGAGCATTTATCACATCAGTTTGTAAAAGCTGATGGCTGCTTGCAGAAAGAAGTTGTTTGTACTACTTCACCCACTTCCGCAATGTGAGATTCTACAAAACCAAAGGAAGTGTTTGAACCACAATCTGGATGTTCAATCTACACACAGTGACAAATGTGAGATTGCAAAATTCTTGTGAGCATTTCATTCAATTTAATGCTCCTTCAGGAGCAACGATTGTAAAAAACATTATCTAACCTAAAGCATTAGAGGGCTCAATGGCTCCTGCATTTCACACTGAAGACAGAGCTTATGAGCAGTGATGTCCAAGGCCACTAAGCAGAATTTCATCAGTTGCTTCATTTTCCCTGGGAGACCTCAACCAACTCATTTAAACCCCTCAGGGTGCAGAGGAACGAGGAAAGCATGGTGCAAGAGAAAAACCATCCAGCTGTTTAATAGTTGTATGGCATTTTCAACTCTCAGACTGAGCAGCTAAGGGTCTTTGACAACCCCCACCAGGGCAGGCCGCAGCGTACGCCCGTGCAGCTTATAGCCAATCTTGGATACCAGTGCAATAGTGCCAGGCTCCTGCCCTTCCATGGGAGCATGGAACAGTGCTTCGTGTTCGTAGGGATCGAACTTGGCTCCCACAGGATTCAGTCTAAGCAGGCCATGCTTTTTAAACACTTTCTGAATCTGTACTTCTGTCATAACGAGACCTTCGTATAAGCTCTTCAAGTGAGGATTTTCATCCTTAATTTCTTCTTTTGGGACACTTTCTGTTGCTTTCTCCAAAATGTCTGCAACTTCTAGTAAGTCCTTACAGAAGCTCTGGATCCCTAAAAAGATATAAAACAGAAGGGAATGAGATTAGTCCATTGAGGGAAACAAGTGTTAAAAAAACAACAACTCCATGGCCCCAAACCCCACAGCACTATCTGTACTTTTAGATTTTTAAGAAGATATGTGATATCATAAACATCTGGGGTAAAATGCCCTTTCCAAGTCTGGAAGACTATACAGAACTATTACAGGTACCTTGAAATCCACATCCTCTCCTCTGCTTCTATGGAAAAAAAACATTATTTCAACTCAAAAAAGCTAAAGCTATGGTAATGGCCTAACAGTTAAAATCCTAACTAAAGTTACCAAAAACTTCAGATGGCTTCATGTAACTTCCTCATGTCTCTCTCACCCTGGGATTCACCTAAAGTTCAATGCATTATGGTGTCCTATTCCCACCCTTCAATCTGATGTGGTAAAAGAATCTGCAGAAGAAAAGCATGTGGTGAGGCTGATAAGTCAAGGGATGGACAGGGATTGTTCCTTGACTGAAGAGAACTCCCACCTCTCCCTCACACTACAAACCTCTTTTACAGAGTCAGCAGCTGTGCCCTGCAAAGCCTGAGCAATTCCCAAGCTAAGGACAGTCTGTGTCCTGAAGCTGTTCTCTGGCTCACACTAAGAGAATCTGGACTAACATTATTCGAGACAAACTTCCTGGCAACCAAGAAAAATCAGAACAAGTAGATAAAATACCACATTTCCACATGGGTTTGGTTTTTGTGGGTTTTTTTAGGCCAGACATAGCCTTTTTAATTCTTGCTCACATTCTGGATGGGGTTTTTTTCCTTACCAAGAAGTGATATGAGCATTAGCAGAAGACAAGTCTCTGGTTTAAACAAAAACCCCCACAACTATGGAAGCACCTTGCAAGATCTACAGGGCTCAGCCAGTTTTCAGGAAAGGGTCACTTTTAACACCTGTGCAACTCTGTAGAGACTCGAGCTCCTTACAGAACAGCCACTAACAGTGCCCAAGTAGTTCTAAAAATATAAGCAAATCAATCACAGTTTTAAACTAAAAAGTAAAGCTGTGGTTAGAGCTGAAGTGTCCCAAACACAGAAAAACCGGCTGTCTAGTGACCTGGATCAAACCAAATAACCAAACTCTTCCCAAAGTGGTTTGGTTGGTTTTTTATTGTGTAAGTTATATTTGCAGGTATCTGTGACTGCATCTCTGTGAATCTATGCAAGTCTCAGAAATGAGTTTCTCTTCCTTCAACAGACCAAGCAGTCATGTACAAAAGATAAAACTTAAAGATACATGTAATTTAGTTTCCAAGGCAAATTTGATTTGAATATTTATTTCTATTGTAGCATCTCTGAGCTCAGACAGGACTCAAAGTTCTTCTGCACCAAGCAGCACATTAGTGAAATAATGCTTACTGCAAATCAACTTCAGGATGAAGCATTCAAATACCCATGAAAAGGGTACAGGAACACCGTGCTTTTTCTTACAGTGCACATTAACTGAAGACACTGCATTCAGCAACTAAATCTTGATTATTCAGAATTAAACTACAGAGCTGTGTGGTGTGGCCAAAAAGACCAACACATTCTCCAAGCCAGACTGGCACTCCAACACCACGATGCAACAGCACTGCTCTGCTGCAGCATTTGCACAGAAAAGTTATTCAATTGTAAAAGGCTAAAAAAACCCCAGAAACACACAAAAAGGCCCCAAAAGAACAAAATACAAAACCAAACACCAAGAACAAAACCCCAAACTTGAAGGAAAGGCAATATTCCATGTTCTTGGTTGTTACTTGCAGTCAGTTCTGAGACCGAAGTGTATGAAAAAGGCAAACTTCAGGCTGCAAACCTTACTGAAAAATCTCCTACTGCAGTACACACTGTAGGAAACCAGAGACCTTGGTTACAATTCTGATGCAAAGTAAGGAACTGTTCAAACCTCCCTGCCTCAAATATATTTTCTAACCAAGTAGTCAGGATCACTGGGAAGTACAACTCTTCAATCCTGCAGGCCGCTCAGGTTAATTTTTCCAGCCTTTGCATTTCCCAGGTCTTAGGAGCAAACACAAAAGGAGCCTCTACTGACCATATAACTTTGCCTCTTCTACCAGTTTCTGGCTTCTTTGCCTCACGTTCTCTGCATCTGCCAAGGCACGTTTGTACTTGTCCTAAAGAAGAAAGAACAGCAACAGAAGAGATTTTATTCCTGGGAGTTGAGTAGTTGACAATAATTCAAACCAGCACATTTAGTTTAAAACAGCATTGTAAACAGTTTCACAGCCTAAATCACTATCTAGAGTACCCTGAAGACAACATGCCAATCACCACAGCATTCTTCCTACCAAGGCAGATGTTTGCTTCACTTTAGAGTAGATGAAGTGATGGAAAGGAAATAATACGGATGTACTAAGAATGAAATTCCATAAAATTAGGTACTGCAGGTCAAGTGCTTCACCACCTAACCCAGAACTCCCTGGTGGTTTCCACCCTGAGTATGCCTGACCTTCACATGCCAGTGAAGAATCTCAAAACACAGTAAAAATGGTCCCAAGCTGCCTGAAGAGCTGTTAGGTAGCCAATAGGCAAATGCTACCAACAGAGATGTTTGACTGCATCTCACAGAATCACTAAGGTTGGAAATGACCTCTGAGATCATTGAGTCCAACCTATGAGCTAACACCACCATGTCAACTAGATCATGGCAGTAGGTGCCACATCCAGTCTTTCCTTAAAGACCTCCAGGGATGGTGACTCCACCATCTCCCTGGGCAGCACATTTCAGTGTCTAATCGTTCCTTCTGTGAAGAAATTCTTCCTGATGTCCAGCCTAAACGTTCCCTGGTGCAGCCTGAGACTATGTCATCTCATCCTGTCCCTAGCTGTCTGGGTAAGAGACTGATCCCCCTGGCTCCAACCTCTTTTCAGATAGTTGTAGAGAGTGATAAGGTCACCCCTGAATCTCTTTTTCTCCAGGCTAAACACCCCCAGCCACTCCTGCTAACACTTGTGCTTCAGACCCTTGACCAGCTCCACTGCCCTTCTCTGGACTCACTCCAAGCACATGACTTTGCCTTTCAGAGCTTTGGGAAGGGCAATAGAAAGGAAACTTATGATCCATAGGTGCTGGTTCGATAGAGGGTTCTGGGCTACCTCTATAGTCTCAAATACTCCAGAAAGACATTTTTACTGAAGCATTTGTTAACACCTTTGCTAAACACACACCTCCCACCCCTCAGGGCATACTTCATCCCTGCAGAAGTCACCCATGGGAGAGAATCCAAGATACATCAGGCCAGAGTGAGGCAATGTGACAAGTCAACCTTGAGTTTGAAGGGTTCTCCAACAGACAAGGTTAGAAACTTCCTAAGTATGGCAGAAGTGCACTACTGTATAAAAGCACCATTAATTCTGACCTTTGAAAAGTCAGCAGCTGTTTCCACACACAAATGCACACACCAAAGACACACTCAAACTCTTTCACAGCTTCCAAAAATCATTTCTCTCTGAGCAAAACTTACATGAAACTCAGTAACAAATTTTCAGGCTGGAGAAGATTCAATTCCATCCAGAAATTGGAAAGAAACTACCCAAAAATCCTAATTTTGGACCAGGGATGTACCTCAGGTCTTGTAGTACATCTACTCTCAAGTTTAAAGAAATGATCACATTGCTGGTTTTATTCACCAGCTACACAGGAGTCACATCACTGTGGCCAGACTGTGCACTGAGGACCTGCAGCGAAGGCTCTTAGGCACCCAGTTTGTAAGGTGAGCAACCACAGACACTTACAGTGACTTCTTTTAGTTGTTCTTCCAGTTTGGCCTTTTCTTCAGATAGCAGTTTTTCAGCAGAGCTGGCTTCAGCCTTCTGCTCATTTTGGCTCTGACTCTGGTCCTCTTCCAAGTTCCTGCCAGTGTTCTTCTGTTGTGTTGCTGCACAGAGCAGTCGTGGAGAACTCCTAAGGTGAAAAAACACGGACAGCATTGATCAGCTGCTTATTTTGTAAGACATTAGCATTTTCTAGATACAGTGGAGACTTTTTTGACACACTATTGTCTACAAAATCCTCACATTAAAGCATAAATACAACAGTTCTAGGCCTGTGAAAACTGTGTGAACCTCCGTGAGAAGTAACTGACCCCTTAAACTGTAGGAAACAGTAACTGCTGCAAGATACCAGCTCCTAAGTGTCTCTCACATTCAGTTTATAAAGTCGTAGCAATTATAAGGGCAATAAGAGCTCGTCTGCAGCGCAGAGCTCTGCCAGGAAGCAACTCCACTCAACGTGATGCAATGACCTGCAACAACCTCCCAGAAAACACCCCGAGCGCGCCGCGTTCGGCCGCGCGGGGGGAACGACTGCTCCGCTCCTCACGTCCCTGCGGCT